GAATGGAGTCAAGTGGCCTTACCTGTCTCTGACCTTTTCCTATTCCTTCCGCTAAGCTCTAGATCCTCCCCTGTTGAGGGTAAAGGAAAGAGATTAGGATAAGGGGGCATACTCACTGGCTGTGACTTTAATCCTGACTGTGAAGTCTACCTGTTCAAGCTCAGATAGCTTGTGGGGGGTCCCTGTGAAGTACCAGATATTCACATATCTTTGGAATATCCTATCGGGTTGCAGACCTCTCTTCTGTTGTCCTCTACAGGACAGAGGGGGTTATTAACCAAGGAGTGTGAAGTCAGCTTCTTCCTGCAGCCATCTCTAACTTTTATGAGGGATCCCCTTGTTGGCCCTCGCAAAGTCTTCTCTCTCTTCTCTCCAGCTTCTTAATTAAGTAGAAAAGCAGACTGCTGCATCTGGGGATTAATCAGGGTAGCAGGACCAGTTGAGCCACCTTTTTGCAAACTTGGAGAGCTGCCTCTCATAGTCTTTGTTGACAATTCTCTTTAGAATGTCAAGGGCAGAGGCTTAGTACCTCTCAATCCTTAGCTTTGGGCTTTAGTCAGGAACTGTGAAGAAATACAAGTTTCATTAAATCATATATGTTAGAAAATTGGCACAGGACTAAAATCACCTGGACACACTGAAGCTAAGCAGAAGCAAGTTTATTGTCAGGAAATCTGCCAATAAACTGCAGGCAGAACAGCGCAGACCTCCTCTGAAATACACTTTTGTAAGTCAGAGCCTGGGTTATGCACTGGGGGTGGGCTTAGCCCTTGCTATTGCAGGTGGAAAACAAGTTTCAAAACCTCAACAACCACAAAGGGGAGGGGACAGAAGGAGCAGGCACAGTGCCACCAGCTCCTGGAATTGGCAGTCCTCTGTCTATGCGCGCTGTGGTGCAGGTGGTTGGAGATGTTAGCCTCTGGGTGATCCAGCTCTTGAAGGGGGAAGGGGGAAGGGAACCAGGGTGGGGTGTCAGGCAGAATGGAGTTAGTTTGACTTAACTTTCTTAATTAACCCATGGTTATGTGTATGTGTATATATATATATATATATATATATATATATATATATGATTAAAATATACACATACATATGTGCATTATTCCCTTTTAAAACACTAATGGGTTCATACTATATGTATCTCACCTAGATTCCTCCCTGCCCCATTTTGCAATGTATCTTGTAGATCTTTCCATGTTAACACATTTAGATACAATAAGGAGTCCAGTGGGGACAGAGAAGCCATTAGGAGTGGCTGGAAACACTTCAAAGCAAACTGACCAACATTAAAAGCTTGTCTTAATCTCAGCTTCTTAAAAAATCATAGCCATCAAACTTCCCAATTGCCAACATCTACAACAAAGCCATAACAGCTAATATTGATTGAATATTTGTACGTGTAATTGACTTGAATTATTTTATTCCACACTCACAGTGACCTATAAGGTACATATGTTACAGCTATTCCCATTTTACAGATGAGGAGCATGAGGGTTTAGAATGGTTAACTTGCCTAAGGTCATAAAGCCAGCAAAGTGATGCACTCATATTTAAATCTAGGACTGTCTGACTCGATTATATTCTTGTCTCTGTGTTCATCTATACATTAAATGCTACATTCTCATTGGCTTTTCTCCAACTTTTAATTTAAACATAAATCATTCATCCTGAGAACACATAGTCCATTCTTTTTAAGATTTGATCTGTGCCAAAAAAGCCTCTAAACTCCAGTTACCATGGACTCTTTTTTTTTTTAAAGAAAGAGGAGAGAGAGAGAGAGAGAGAGAGAGAGAGAGAGAGAGAGAGAATTTTTTTTTAATATTTATTTTTCAGTTCTCGGCAGACACAACATCTTTGTATGTGGTGCTGAGGATTGAACCCGGGCCGCACACATGGCAGGCGAGCGCGCTACCGCTCGAGCCACATCCCCAGCCCTACCATGGACTCTTGAACATGTATCTACTTTAAGTTAGTGTTTATTCAACATCAGGGTTATGGATTGGGAGATTGTGCATTCCATATGATTTGAGTTGTAAACGGAAGTGTTTTTCTCTGACTTACTGAACTGTCTTGAGATTCTGCCACTGGAGATTCAGTCCTTAAAGCACTGAGTGAAGTAGAAGTCAGAAGCCAGGAGGATAATCTAGAAGCTTTCAAAAACATTTAAGCATACATTATTTAACCAAACCTCAAACGGGTGGGAAAGATGTACCCATAGAACACCAGGAAAAGTTTTATGGAGACTCATACCTGTACAGATAGAATATAAAAATGGAGAAAACTGGAGAGATTCACTCACTTTTGCCCTCAAGAACCTAGACCTACAAAATCCCACGTGGGCCTCAGAGAAGCATACCTGTCAACAGTGGGACACTGGAAAGTGGTGAAATGAAACAAACTGGAGGTGGCAGGGATTAGGGGTTCTGGACACCCAGCGGGGCAGGGCAGTAGCTCGTAAAGCACAAGAACCAGGCCGAAGGCCAGACCCAGCTCATTTTCTCTGAATCACCTCTGTAAAAGCCCCCTGTTCCTGCTGATGGGCAGAATCACAACCTTTGGGAGTTCCCTGTGTTTCTTCTTTGCTAGCAAAGCAATAAACCTTCTTTTCCTTTTTCTCAAAACCATGTCCTCATTATTGGATAGGCATTGGGGACAAGGACCCAGCTTTTGGCAACACAATCATAGACACTCTGCTGTTATTTGTGACTGGTAGGTAATCTAAGGAAGTGAAATTCACATAAGTAGGAAGTTTTCAAAAATTGGTCCAACATTACCAAGGAAATCTCTCAGTGAAATGATGACCTAGTCATGAGGGGCAATCAAGAATAACAAACTGAGTTATTTAGAGCTGGAATAAGAGCCTGCTTCAGGGAAGGGGGTGAATGAAAGCATCATTGGCAGTTACCCTAGGAAGAGGGGTGGGGAATATATACATATAATCCTAATACAGGCTGAGGGACTAAGCAGCTAACTGGGATATTTCTGGCACAGTCAGCATCCATGAAAAAATGTTTTTATTTATTTTTTCAAGTGTGCCTCCTGATTTACCACTTTAGCAGGCAGTACTTTTATATGCTTGGGACTCAAACTATGCATCTTAACTCTTCATCTATAGTTTAACCTCTACTATCCTAAGGACAGGGAAAGTGGGTTGGCTGGTTGGAAATCCAGCCAGAACAGGGATAAATGTGGGGAGAAACAAGTACCCTTTTTCAGCTCCTCTGGTATCGTTCAGCGGGATCAAGATGGTGCCTACTTTTCCTCTTAATGGCGTAAATCCTCACCTTTTTTCTTTATTGGCCATTTTTTTTCGGGTTGAATTAAATTAAAACATTTTCTAAGTGCCAACTAAGGACAATGCACTATGCTAGGTGCTGAGGATGAAAAAGAGAAACTAGAGTTTCAAGTAACTGTCTTATACCTCCTGACACCAAATCCATTGCAGTGTAATAAGACTATTCTTCACAAGCAACTGAAGACCTCCAGAAGCCTATACTGTGCAACCTCCACCAACGAAATGACACAAAGTAAAAGTTGTGCTGCATGTACAAGTGGAAACAAAAAGCAGGATGGTCATTTAAAGCAAAAATAACAGAAACAGGGAACAGACCACAATAGATTATCAAGCTTTCTTTATTAAGCAGTGGCAGTGGCACAGTTTCAGGAGAGAAAAGGGTGATTGATTACAACTGGGGTTTGATATTTTTAGGGTTTAAGTGAGATGGGTATTGAACCATAATGCTAAGAAAAGATCACTGACTCCAATTTAAAGCAAACTTATATTGCGTACCAAAGAGCTGGCCAGGGCCTGTCTCAACCAAAACCCAGCTAGAGAACAGCGACAGTTCACAAGGAAGAAAAGGTTTTTATAGCACAAACAGTCACAAAGGCGGGTGACTTGGGAACTTACAGCTAACAGGGTTCTGGTAAGCTTAATACAAGGGCAGATAGCAGGTTTATGATCTACGTTGTTTACATCTCAAGGTAGAGAGCAAACTCAGATTCCAACATCAAAATTAATGAGGAACAGCTGGGATTTCAGGGAAGGTTGTTGTCTGGTCAAGGCGAGCCGCGGTGGTTAGTTCAAAACCCAGGCAGGAATCCCAAGCAAGTGTTTTTTTTGTTGTTGTTTGTTTGTTTAAAAAAAAAAAAAAAAACATCAGACTACAGTCAAGCCAAATAGAAATCTTAGTATTTTACAGTAAAACAGAAATAAACTTTTCATGACTTTGTGATGAGATGGCTCCCAATCTTAAGGTGGAATTAGGCTGGGTTCATCATTGGAATCTTAACAAGTAAGATTTGAATTATGGCAAAAATGTCTTGGCTAGGTAGTCAAGGGGAACAGTTGTGCAAATTCAAAGCTCAAAACAATTGCAAGTGCCAAACCCATTGTTGCTGGGAAAGGGTGAAAGTCCAGAGTCCAGAGCCCATTATTTTGCCTTTCCCTGGGGGGGGGGGGGTGTGTTGTTATTTTTCATATCATTCATTAATACTTTTGTAAATAGTGGTGGATCTGGGTTTGGAACCAAAGGTTGGTTGCCAGTGAGTGCAGTGCCCTTTCACCAGGTTGCCTCTTTTAGGATTTTGTAGGAGCTCGAGTCTGTTAAAACTTTGCGCCAGAAGGGTAGTTTGGGAGAATGTGGCAAACATTCACTCCTGAACACATTCATCAAAAGTGGCATCTTTTCAATAATTTAAAGAAGGTAATACAGTTACCAAGACTGTTGCTGAGACTGGGCTAAAAGGACGAGAGAAAGCAGTGTAAAACACTCAACACCACTCAAAATTCTTGGTTGTAGGCAAAAAAAAAAAAACATATTCTGGCAAATTTGGGTGGAAATGAAATTTATTGGAAGTCTTTTGGACAGTTGACAGAAGGATCGGGAGGCCTTTAGGACCCGGAACAGCACGGAAGGTCTGGAGGTGGGCAGGCGACGTCGTGGCGCACACTTGACGTCGTCAGCTCGCGCCGGCGAAAGCGAGGACGCCAGGAAACCCGGAGAAACGCATTTCTTTGCTTCGGCTTGCACACGCCATGGCGGAGCCCGTCCAGCAGCCCCCTCAACCCAGCGGCGGGAAGCGCAAAGGAAAGGCTCAGTACGTGCAGGCCAAGCGGGCTCGGCGCTGTGACGCCGGCGGGCCGCGGCAGCTGGAGCCCGGGCTGCAGGGCATCCTCATCACGTGCAACATGAACGAGCGCAAGTGCGTGGAGGAGGCCTACAGCCTGCTCAACGAATACGGCGACGACATGTACGGGCCCGAAAAGGTACCGGTCTCGTGCTGGCGAGCCGGCCTGCCGGCCTCTGGGAGGGGGGACGTTGGAAGGTCGGCTGCCTTTGTACGCGTGCGCGCGACTTGCCGCGTGCACTGGGCGGCGGGGGCGCGGCCTCGCCTGGGCCCCGCGCTCTCGCCTCTCCCTGGCCCTGCGCCCTCGCCTCTCCTGCAGACTCCTGGCCAATGGGTGTCTGGTCTGATGTGCAGTCTGTCATCTTGTGATTTTCTTTCCATCTTTAATTACAGTACTTCCCATTTATTGAGTGCTTCCTGCAGGCCAAAAGATGTTCTTTACACGACAGCTTTGTGAAGTGGTCTGTAATAATGCATTTGCCCTAAGCCATGCTATTATCTGTAAAATAGTGGGTTTGATATTAATGCTAGTTATTAACCAAATGCACATAAAAATACATTTAAAAAGCACAATTTTTTTTTTTTCCGTATTGGGGATTGAATTCAGGGACGTTCCACCACTGAGCCACACATCTCCCCGTCCGTTTTATTTAGAGAAAGGATGTCGTTAAGTTGCTTAAAGCTTCACTAATTTGCTGAGACTGGCCTTGAACTCGAGATCCTCCTGCCTGGGCCTCCCAAGCCGCTGGGATTACAGGGCTGTGCCACTGCACCTGGCTACTTTTTTTTTTCCAACCAGTACCACTTGAAATTTCACTACCCCATCACATTGTGGGTGTCATGATATTATTGGCTTAGAATTTGTATCAATATTCACATACATACCCTGAGGAATAAAGTGAAGAAGAATAGTACAGAGGGCCTTATTGTTTTCTAGCTCTGGGACCTGGGCATAGGCACAGTATTTAATTTGGCTGAGTTATATTTAAGAAATGATAGTACTTTGGTTAGCTAGAAAGTTGCTTATGTACATAAAGTATATTCTGGATATATACAGTTTCCTTAAATGTGCACAATTAGTGTTTGATTGGTGGTCTCATTGTTAGGGCAGAGAACTGGGCAACAGGTGAATATCTTATCTATACTGGTACCTTGATCAAGTTCTCAAAAACTCTGTCCTTTTCCTCAGTAGAACAGGAGTAAGGGTTCTTTAATTCTGTTAACTATTTCGTTCTAATCTTACCAACAGAAGAGTCAGGCACAAAGATTAAATTTAGAGATGGTGTTAAGGTCCACCCTGATGGGCTCCATCTGATGAGCACAGTTTCCTCTGCCAAACTGTCAAGATGCTTTTGAAAACATTTTCAAATGCTACCACAATCTGAGGGCACTCCCTTCTTCCCTCAGAGTTTGGAGGGAGTGTTTGCTCAGTCTCTTAAAATACTTGACTGTCAACATTAAGCCATCTGCCTCCAGGAGTTTCACATGAATATTTAATTATAATGTTTAAACATGAGCTGTTGTGTCATTTCTGCCTATTGATTTCATGTGAACAGTTTACAGACAAGGATCAGCAGCCCTCTGGAAGTGAGGGAGAGGATGATGATGTGGAAGCTGCCTTGAAGAAAGAAGTTGGTGACATTAAAGCTTCGACAGAGATGAGGCTAAGAAGATTCCAGTCAGTGGAGAGCGGAGCGAATAATGTAGTCTTCATCAGAACACTTGGGATAGGTGTGTCTAACACCCCTAATGTCATTGATCCTACAGTATTTGGATAGCTCCCTTTCTCAGAGAACACTGCCTATTAAATGGCTTCATGGCATGGCTCTTTTAATCACTTTATTGCAAACTTTGTAGACCATATTAGCAGTAGGAACAGACAGAGGTAGAATGAGGAGGTGCACATTAGCATTGGCTTTGCCCCATTTCCTTTGTATGTAACTTTAGGCAGAAGGAGAGCGCATGTTCTGACTGCAGGGGGCACTTGCTACCCAGTTCCAGCCAATGGTTGCCTTTTGGGGAATTAGAGCCAGATTTTATGATGGAAATCTGGAGAAGTTCTTGGATTTTAAAATGTGGTCACCTAATTTAAAAAATATTGAAAACACTGAGCATTCCCAAAGAGACTGTATATAGCCTGAGGACCACCACTTCATGATAATGCACTGTAGCGTTCTGAGATTCTGTCTTCCCAGGTCTGAGATCTAGACTTGTGTACTCATTAGTTGATATATTAGTCGAATCTTTTTAAGTGACTTGCAGTTTTTGTTTTTGTAAAAAAGTGTTTACTGTTTAATGTTTGTTACTCTGATAGTGCTATTGTTATAGGAAAACAATAGTAGGGTATTGTGGTTGGATAAGTTGGGGCATTAAAAACATTAACTCCAGAATCTACATGAATAATTATTTTTAACAAAAGCAGTAATGGTGAAATGTTAAAATATCAGCTATAATGTAGGCACTGAAGAAATACTAGTTGGAAAAACTTGTTTGTTCTGTGCTGATTTCTTTTGTTTTCTTGTAGAACCTGAGAAATTGGTGCATCATATTCTCCAGGATATGTATAAAACCAAGAAAAAGAAGACTCGAGTTATTCTACGAATGTTACCCATCTCAGGCACGTGCAAAGCTTTCTTAGAAGATATGAAAAAATATGCAGAAACATTTTTGGAACCCTGGTTTAAAGCTCCAAACAAAGGGACATTTCAGATTGTTTACAAATCTCGAAATAACAGTCACATGAATAGAGAAGAAGTTATCAAAGAGCTGGCAGGTATGTTTCTCTTACTGATTTTATATGGGTATGTAGTGGTAAACACTTGTTTAAGGATTTCTTTTTCTTTGGTACCAGGGATTGAACCCAGGGGCACCTAACCACTATGCCACATCCTCAGCCCTATATCATATTTTATTTAGAGATAGGGTCTCACTGATTTGGTCAGTGCCTTGCTTTTTGATAAGGCTGGCTTTGAATTTGTGATCCTCCTACCTCAGCTTCCCAAGCCGCTGGGATTATAGGCATGTGCCTACGCACCAGCAAGGGTTTCTATTTTAACATATAAGGTTTACATTTTTCAGTGTAGATCAAGTGTATTAAAATATTAAATCTATTTCAGTAAATTAAATATGAGATTTTCTGATACTCCTTTCCAAACTGAGGTTTGGAATTTTCTTTTGGAAAAAAGTATATTTGTCTTTACGTACCCTTGGGAGATTGTTTCAAGGATTCCCTACGGATACCAAAGTGTGGATGCCCAAGTCTCTTATAAAGATGTAGTGTTTGCATACAACCTGTGCACATCTTCCATATACTTTAAGTCATCTCTAGATTACTTAGAATACCTAATTCAACATAAACATATAAACCGTTATTATACTATAAGGAGAAAATAATAACAATAAAAAAGTCTATATGTTCGGCACAGATGCAGTTTTTTCCCAAAGTTTTTTGAGCTAAGGTTGGTTGAATCTGTGGATGCCAGGCCCATGGATATAGAGGGCCAATTGTATATTTTAAAATTAAATGTCTCAGAACTTCATTCAAATTTACTTATTGAAAGGATTCAGGGTATTTGATTCAGGTTCACCTAGAAGAATGGACTGGTACATATTGTGTTTTAACAAATCCCCAACAGAAAGGAACGAGAAGTTGTTTGTATCCATCAAGCTTAGTGGTATCCCTCTCAACCTAAATGTTGTTCCTATTTTTATTACAGGAATAGTGGGCAGCCTTAATTCAGAAAATAAAGTGGATCTCACCAATCCCCAGTACACGGTGGTAGTAGAAATCATCAAAGCTGTCTGTTGCCTGAGTGTTGTGAAAGATTACATGTTGTTCAGAAAGTATAATCTCCAGGAGGTGGTGAAGAGTGCTAAAGACCCATCCCAGCCTCACCCAAAGCTAGGAAATGGGAAAGAAGTGAAATTGGAATCTGATGTCAAATTAAATCAAAATGACCCCTCAGAAGGGAAAAATAACCAGCAGGTGGTACCAGAGAATAATGAGGAGCCAGGGCAAACAAAACCCAAGCCTGAGTCACAAGTGGTGAATGAGGAAGGAGCTAAACCTGAACTTGCAGATCAAGTCATGGAAGGATCCAAGTCAAATGAAAATGACCACTCGTAGGAGGAGGTGGGTTTCTCAGTGAGGTTCTGTGAGATGCTACCAGGGTTCCATGTGAAATTATAATATTTGATGTTGTGCTGCAGAGTGCTAATCTCACAGTATCAACAGTGACCCCTCAGCCCTGTTAGCAGTTTTGTCAGAGCACTTTCAGCCCCCTTGGTGTGAGTATGGGCCCACCTGCTGTCACACAGGGAGGGGGTGGGAGAAAGGTGTGGGCTCCTCCCTTCTTCTCTTCCCAGCCTCCCTATATGCACTGCCAGTTGTTTTATGGAGTGAATATGCTCTGAGAAACAGAAATCAGAGGGAAGTTTTCCTTCTAAGCAAGGAATTTTTTTGTGCCACAACTAAGCTATCCCCTGCCATTTTGTTCTAAACATTGCAAAAATGTGGATTTTGTAGATTGGAAGTGAATTGTTTTGTGATTGTTTTATAGTTTTGTCTTTCTTGTTTAGTTATTATGTCATTTTTATCTTTGAATGTTTGCTTGCTGTGAACAAGTATTATGGTCATTGCTGCAGTTTTTGAAGGCAAGGTGGTGAGATACAAGAGGACCATTCCAGACCTATACCCACAGACATTTCTGATAAAGTTGGTGATAAGGAATCATCATCTCCTAATACAACAGACAAACAAAGAGATTCTGTCACTCCAGTGAAAGCTCCTCCAGGGTGATATGGATCTGTGAGCCAAGCTGTCCTCCCAGTGGGCATTGTCTGTGGCATGCATCTTACTAGCAGTTAACTCCAGCAGTTGTAACTAAATCATTTGCAAGGATATTGGTTAGTTTAACGGCTTTTGGAATATCAAAAACAGTAAAACTTTTGTTTTAAAAAAAATCACACTCAGTGAAAAGGTTTAGGAAGCAAATTATTTAGTAGCAGACTGTATCCCAGAAAAGAAAAAATTATGTAGTTGGTGAAAATGTAACAATATCAACATTACAGTGCTGGGGCAAGTATAAGAAATAGAAATGACTTTTCTCTTAGTTTTTAGTGATATGTCACATGAGGTAAAGAGGTTTTGTGTAGTTAACTGAGAAACAGCAACCTCTACCTGGGTTGAGTCAACAGATTTCACAAATATTTGTTTTGCTGTAGCATTTATAAGGTTTCTAAATATTGATGAAAATAAATGAACTTTTTTTTTTCCCCTGCTACTAGAAGTCTCTTAAAACAAAGGCCAATATATCTTTAAGTTATATCATTATACCTAAAAAAACGAAGGTCTGTCATCTGTACTAGTGCCCCATGTTTGGTGCTTGGCTCCGTGAGAGTTATGCCTCATTTCAAAAAAGAAATCCTGATGTTGGCAATACAGTACAGTGCTTTCTTCACAGAGGTGCTGATATCAACAACGTGGAGATGAAGAAAATTCTCAATAATGCTACAAAAATGGTTAATTTATTATTAAAGATCCATTTATGCCAAGAATGTTAAGCAAATCCCCAACTAAAACTTGGGACAAAGAGCACATGTATCTTATACAACCTACAGAAACCTGGTGGCTTATCAGAAGAAGAGTTTATAAAGAATGTTTGAGTGGAAAAGTGAATTACTAGGGCACTTACAAGAAAATAGGGCAGGTCTTGCTGAGTGCTTTCAAAATGAAGAATGGCAGTAGAAAGCCTATTTAGCAGAAATTGCTATTGCATATGTAATGAAAAAGTTTCTGCAAGATCCTAGAGAAAAAGTTTTTTCTTAAAGTGATAAGAATCCAAGATTTAGAAGGAAACTTAACTCTGGAAAAGTAATTTTAAAGAGTTGCCAAAGGAACTCTTGAAATGTCTCTCAGCAACTTGTACTTTATAATGAAGAATGCAAACATTACAAGTCTTCTGCCTAGAAGGAATGCAAAACCAAAGTAAGTAGTGTCTCTTCTCCTGTTTCCACTCTGAAGGAAGAGAAAGAACTCCACTCTGGTCTTTCAGCTCAAGACTTGTTTGAAATAAGAGCATCCTTCAACTTAGTGCTCACACTCATGCCATGAGGTATTTCCGCAGGGGTTACCTGAATTTGAAAATGTCTTCAAGGGTCCCTCCCAGGTAAAGTGATTGAAAAAGGGTGGAAGACACTTAGGAGCAGTATAAAATAAATTGTGTAGATTGAGAACATTAAGGGACTATTCTTTTTCAATTTAAGAAAGTTTGATAGTAGCATAAGTGAAAACTCCCTACATGAGTGTCTGCCTGTGTAATAGCTAGTCACCGTGGGAATGCGTGTGTACCCTTAGAGCTCTTTGTGATAAACCAGACTAGGAGGATGTGGGAGGGACAGAGAGGGTGGGCAAGACCTTGCTGACAGGTGGGGTGGTAGGTATCTTCAGATGTTTAGAATGTTAATGAGGCTGAGGTCTTCTTGGAAGGATGAGTGCTGTCAGTGTTGTTTGGGGGAACAGGGAGGATGGGATCCTGGTGCCTTCTTCAGTGGACTTGCTCCAAGACAAAGATACTTTTGATAGTACAAAATAAAGGGACTCTGGGAATAAGTTGGCCATACAGCTACAGAACATAGAACTCTGTGGCACTAACTGGTTCCTTTTGCTTTGTGAAGCTGCTACTTTACAAAAGAATTTTATAGTTTAGGTCTAGTCACTTTTTGTGTTTATTTGTATTTGATAAGACCTGAGTGTCACACAAACTGTTCTTCCCCAACTGTACAATACTGTGTTCTGTTGGGGTCTAAATTCATCCATTGACAGCTTTTGCTTTCAGGTTAATGTCTGTTTATTTTCACTGACATTTGAGCATCTTGTTACAAATGATGAGATTCCAGGGTGGAACTGAATGCTTTTCTTTATTTTTTTTTTTTTTTAATTCTAAAAAATTACAGCAGTTAAAAACACTCTTGTGGTTTAATGAACTCTTTTGCTCTGTTGAAAAAAGAATTAAAATTGGCATTTTAAAATATGTTTCTCAAAGCTTAAAAACACAATTTTCAAATGGTAGTTTTACTTGTGTTTTGCTTTTTGTATAGCCAGATATTCAGCTTGTTTTTCATAGTTTCTTGTATTTTCCAAAAAAAAAAAATCAAAATAAATTTGTTCCTTAAAGATTGGTGTTCTGTACTTTTTCTTCCTTTCTACCTCTTAGAAATACAATCTCGTTTCATAGTATACATATCACAAAAAATATTTGCATGTCAAATAATGTATCAAAAAAATCATATACATGGTTCTAAAAAGTAAAGATAGAAAAAATTATTAGTTGCTCTAGATTAAATACTCGCAGCACAGGCCTGTAATTCCAACAACTCAGGAGGCTGAGACAGGAGGATCATGAGTTCAGAGCCAGCTTCAGCAATAGCAAGGTGCTGAGCAACTCAGTGAGACCCTGTCTCTAAATAAAATACAGAATAGGGCCGGGGATGTCGCTCAATGGTTAAGTGCCCCTGAGTTCAATTCCCAATACTCTCACCCCCCAAATTTCCTAAATAATCAAAGTTTCAGGTATTTTATAGGATTTTGTTCCAAAACAAGTTAACAATATGGTGTTATAGTTAATTTCATTAAATTCACTTTTGAGTTATTTGGACTCCTCATTTTAACATCAACATTTTAGTTTGTCTTCAGATATTAATCTCATAAAGATGCTTTGCAGAAGAAATTCTGACTTGAACATTTTTTCTTAGAATTGTTCTTTATTTTTAATTAAGCATGACAAGATAAATGAAACATTGTGTGCTATGCTTTTCAGAGTAATCATTTTACCTCTGCTATTTTAAACACTACAAATCATTACTTTTGTTGGTTAGGTCATAACAATATTCTTCTCAAATATGTTTAGATATTTATTTGCTGCTTTATTTTTTGGCTAAGTGCAAAACAAAAATTCAGTTGAGTTTTCAACCAGGAAAAATCTTATACATTTTAAGAAAGTAATCAGAATTTATCAGGAAGTACTAAAAGAGAGCTTCAAGTTAGCCTTAAATCCTTCAGTTTTCTTATCAAGCTACCTTCGTCCCCATTCTTGGTCTCTTAAAACGTTGCGCTTGATTTTTCCAGTGATTGTCTTTGGGAGTTCTTGAACAAATTCCACCTAATTGACAGGCATATTATGAGACACTTAATTCCATTGGCTTATCCCAGCTGTCAGTGTAATAGGAGAGAAGGCTCATGAAACTCAGAGGCTGAATTTTAGCTCTAGAGATGGTCTTAACCTGAGCTCATTGCATTTTGTAGGCACTAGAAACTGGTCTGTTCAGATAGTAAGGACCACAGGGCAGCTGCCTCTTACTGGTGTTTAGTGTAAATTCACTGTGGGCTCTGCCAGAAGAAAGTAACTCCTTTTGCCCCTTTGTTTCCTCTCTAGACTTGACCATAAAATCCTGTCTGTTCCCCTCAAAGTAAGATTATGGGAAAAAAAAAAAAAAAAGATGTATTTTAAAATGTCATCAACCCTCACTTCTGAAAATCAAAGGGTTTATTTAGTTTAATGGAGAAAGTGTTAAAATGGTTGATTAGTTATTGGGTTGAAATTAACTTCCTTTTGGCTCAAGTGGCAACTGAAATGGAATTGTTTCAGAGAGGAATTGTCCATATCAAGCAGTAGGCCTCCAGGGCAGGAAGGAATCTGCAGTTCTGTCTGTACTTAGGATTGTTTTTGAGTCCTCTCTTGAAGAAGGTTTCGGGGAAGATCCTTCTTTTGGATACTATCTTCCTGAGCCTTAAATGAGGTCACTTAATACTTTCAGGCATGCACTTTGAATTTATAGGCCTGTTAGGCCAAGAGTACCAAGAAGAATCAGGTGCCATCCCTAAAAATAAGTCACTTTGGCAGATACTGCCTCTATTCTCCTCCCCATATGGAATAGAACTAAGAACTAATTAGTTATATAGATTCTTACTCTGTAATTCAGAGGTTTTTTTTTTTTTTTTAAACCTAGTTTATCACATATTTGTAGTGCCCTGATACGTAACATTTTAAAGCAAAATTTTCAGGCTAAACTGAAAAAGTATACTATAAAGTCAAAATCCAGTAAAATCTATAGACCTGCTTAGACCCTAGTTTGGTAACCCAAAGGTGTACTTGCCTTTCTTGGATATTTGTAAGGTGCAGTTGATTTTTTCACATGATCCTGAAGCTCCAGAGTTAATTTCTCAGGGTTGGAGGATTTGAAAGGTGCAGATAACACAACAAAAGCTTTCACCACCTGGCAGGCAAAACAAAAACAAAAACATTTACATCGCCATCTTTGTTTTTCAGACAAGTCAAGGGCTGAAGGTAGGCACTGTTAATAGCAACCCATGATAAGTTCAGTCACCTCTGAACAGAGCTTGTACACAATTATAAAGTTTGATAGCTATTTCCAGGTAAATGAGTTGTGAGTGAGGGGTGCAGCGATGCTTTTATGGCTGAGTTCTGTTTATATGTCACATATTTAACATTTCCCTTGACCGTGTTACTAAACAGGCATCATTAATTGACAGACGACCCCTTACGCCAACAAGCCTATAAAAGAAGCATGTTGTTGCAGGACAAATGGAGGGTCTAGAGAATATGGTTTGAAGGGGTGTTGGGGAGCCCTAATGGAGGAAGGATGATGTGTCAGTAATGTGCATTTGACCACAAATGCCTCTAAGGTGTTTCTTGCCTCCTCTGTTTTGCCTCTCTTTAGAGCAATTAGATCATTATTGGGTTAGCAAACCTACTTCAAATGATTATTCATACATGGATTCTAATAGGTATATACTTTTGGTGTCCTGAAATCAAGAGGAGACTATTTTGGAGAATGTGATTAGATGATAGTGGAGGGGGTCCAGGCAGTAGGGGCACAGGATCCCATGTTCCTGCAGAGGGTCTCTGGCAGGAGAGAGGGAGGAACAGAAAGCTGTGGGAGGATGCTGATAGGCACACTATTGGGGGATTTTTTTCCCCCACTTGCTGAGTCTGGAAACTTTCATGAGGAATGGAAATTCTCCTTTCATGTTATAAGGCTTCCTCCTAGAACTAAGGTTATTACTGTCATTGCCTTAATAACCTTTCATTAGACCCTAAATGGCCATGGGACTTATTTGATGAGTCTGGCCGCAATCTATCTGTATCTTTTCTGTAAGAAACTGTATTTTGAGCTCCCTGACAATTTTACAGACTGAAGTCTATTGCTTTTGTTTATGTACCATCTGTTCCCCGTTTTTAGTAACAGTGTTTGTAGTTTCCTATGGAGCATTACCCTAACTTCTCCCATGAGGGTTGGTACCAGCCCTCATGTCTGATGACAGGCATGTGACCCAGGCCTGGCCAGTGGCCTCTATCATTCTTTGGACCACATTGGCTAGAGATGTGATCTAAGATGGGCAAATGAGATCATGGAAGTTACTTGAAACAGTTGAAAAGAACTTTCTCCTTTCCTGGAAGGGTGGGGAGGATTGTTAAGCCACAGGAGCCTGGAGTTGGTTGTTATCAACCAAAGTGTTCAAATGGCGCCAACTTAAGCAACAACAGAGCCAGACATGGAGAGAGACTGTCACGCTAACTTCACTGAATGCTTGGCTATATCTGCTCCTGAATACTTGTTTGTGTGAGCCCCCCAAATTATTATTATTATTATTATTATTATTTATAACTGAAGTCAGTTTGAGTTGAATTTCTGTCCCTTGCCACCTAGAGAATCCTAATCCTCAACCAGGAGCAGTGGCACACACCTGTAATCCCAGCTTCTTGAGAGGCTGAGGCAGGAGGATCGAGAGTTCAAAGCCAGCCTCAGCAAAATGCGAGGTGCTAAGCACTCAGTGAGACCCTGTCTCTAAATAAAATACAAAAAGTAGGGCTGGGGATGTGACTCAGGGCCCGAGTGACCCTGAGTTCAATTTCTGATACCAAAAAAGAGAAAGAAAAAAAAGAGAGAGAAAATCCTAATCCTCTTTGGGACACAGCTCATTTGTAAAGTTGATTGCCTACTACACTATTTTTAAATTTTTTTTTTTTAATTTTTTTGGCCACATGTATGCCCTATAAGCGACCACTCTTGATTTAGTCTTCGCTGTGGTCAAATGCACAGAAGTTGAAATACAAAATTGCAGCTGCAATGAATGGCGTTGGCTCTACCTCTCCCCGGATTGGATCTGGACTGCTGACCACGGCCGACTCCACGACCGCAGGGTGCTCTATGAGTG